ATCTGATAACAGGATCAGGAAAAAGTGCCGGATATAGGGTGGCCCAAAGGGTTATGGGGAAAAAAAAAAAGATTCCCACTTAATTATGTCCTAATGGAAAATGAGTTATTCATGCTTGCTAATTGCTAAACTCCTACTTATTAAATAAACTGCATACGTGTGATGCTGCTTTCACGTCAATTTCAACCCTTGAAATGACGATTAATGATTGAAGATGAAAATGGAGTGACATTGAGAGAGAGAGAGAGGAGTTCTATTCATTTTCATGGAAGGCCACTATCCGAGAGCATTATTGAAGCAAACGCTCCTCCTCCTTTTGATGGTATCCAAAGACCCCAGCATCTAGTTAAGCTATAAAGTCTTACCATTTTCATCTTAAAATCAAATATCCAGTGTGTGTGTGTGTGTGTATAAAACAAGCACAATCATTATTGTACTCTTTTCCATTATTTATACCTTCCACTAGATAACTCTATATATATATATATATATAACCTTCAGATCTCTCTCAATATACATGTGTATGACACGCGCACACACGTTGTTGTTATCATACACACACACACACACATATATATATAATGATTTATGCATGCATGCATGCGATGGAGGCGTTGTTGAATGGAATGATTGAGGAGAATCAAAATGATAATGGGGTTGGGACTTGTGAGCATTATGGATGAGTCGTATTAATTGAGCTGGCTGCCTCACATACACATCAGTGTGTACATAAGGGCGGTTTTATTATGAGGCGTGTAGATTTGTTTAATATATATAGGAGCCATCATTTAATTTGGTGGTGCGTAGTTTCGGAAATCTTTTTTGTTGGCTAGGAGTAATTAATAAGCTTTTTCTGTTGGTGATCATAATATATAGTATTCTTTTTCAGCAGAAAATCTAGTTAAAATGGATGTGAAATGGGGACAATTATAATGAGTGCTCCAAGGACTTGATGACAGTAGTGTTGTGTGTGTCTTGTCTTCAGCATCAAAATCCTCACAACCCATATCTCTTGTCTATATATATACTACCTCCAGTTCTTAATATAAGACTTAATTAATTAATTTAAAAAAATTAATAAAATTTTTAAATTATTTTAAACTATTTTATAGTTATCATTTTCCCCCTAAATTAATGTACTTCACTTATAAATTGATATATAATCTAATAATATATATAAGTATTTTGGAGAGATCATGTAATATATATTATAATTAAGTAATTTAATAACATTTTTAAGTTTTCTATGTTAGTCAACTAGGCCTTATATTAAAAATTAGAAGTAGTATGTATATAAATATACATATATAAAGACAATTTCACATCATACTATATTGTTGCTTTATTTGAAGCCCTTGCCTTTTTTTTCATAGCAACCCCACGAGCGCATATGCCTCAGTTTTTACACTCTCACCAAAATCTCCATTTTCAAAAGTTGTCTTCTTTACAATCCTCTGTCTCTCTCTCATGTCCACCGCCCCCAAAAGTCCGAAATTCCCTGAAGAAAACGGGGGCTGATCAATGAGACAAATTTTAATTCTATTTCTTAGGTATAAACATGTATAATTAACTCTTCTTTACAGCCGAAATAGGCTATATATATTTCCATAAAGATAAATTATTTAAATTTAGTGTGAACGAAAGAGCCTATACATATTCTATAAACCCTACAAATCATCTCCTCACTATTCAGGGGGGAAAAGAAAGTTTGGCTTTAGCGTTTTATACATATATGCTTAGGGTTGCTAGCTCATTCTATTCCTTTCTAACTACTTTAATTACATTATATCTATAATTTTAAAAAAATACAAGTAATTAATAAAGCGTTGTGGGGAAGGATTTTCCTTTTCTTTTCTTTTCTCTTTTTTTTTTTTTTGCTTTAATGAAAAAGATCAGACAAGGAAATGAAAAGGGTCTCTTTATGAATAAATCTTCCACGTTTAAGACAAAAACTAAAGCAACTTAGGCTCCAGTAGGTCCCCCTCACATGTCCTTTTCTCAAAGCTACGTGGAGGACATATGTTAATATTGTAGATTTAACTTGCCCATTTTGTCACTATAATTACTTCATATATGCTCATTCATCTTATGATAATGATCAAGATGAATAGATGATGACGATAAAATTGCAAATGAAATGGAATCGATGGGATATATACATAAAGAGAGAGCTATTATCTCGTCTCCTTTTTTATCCTCTATGTATCCTCCAACTAGAGACAATCCTATTCAAGACATTACTGAGTATTAAATATGGATAATGTTAATCTCTTGTCTACTTGTTGCATCATCATCATCGGTATAAAGTGTCTATATTAAAAACCTTTTTAATATATATCCAGGAAAAAAATTAAAGAAAAAATATGCAACACGAGATACTTTGTTTTTACAACACATATATATTCAATATTGGTTGTGTGTTTGAGGTTGAGGATTTTGACTACGCATATATGTACCAGCTAATAAAGTTTGTTATATAAAGCGAACACACACTACTATTCTATACTGCATTTACACGTGCATTGCCCTTTAATTTAATTTGTTCAAAAGGTTTTACATACAAGAAGAAGCCATTAACGCAGAGTTTAATTAATTATTTGGGACATAATTAATTAATTTAAAAAATGGAATTATTGTTTCCGTGTTGTCCCAGTGCTTGTCATATTATCTGTCCCTTTAGAATCAAAATAAAAGCAAGTTGATTCACAATGTCCAAGATATTTTTTGCCGCATGCCGAATTAATCTCAAGAAGTGGCTAATATAATTAAGAAGATTAGGATATAGTAGTCTAGATGATGGTATTTACACACACACGCACACACATATATATAATAACATATTGAGTGGAGGAAGATGAAATGGAGTCAAATAATTAGCATCTAATCCAAATATAAATGGCTCCCACAAAATAGTTTAATTAAGAAACGCCAAATCAGAGTAATTGAAGATGGGGGAGCCGCCGCTCCTGCCTTTTAATTAATCGGCATGCTTTCATAACTTTATTCATTGGGGGATGACTTCCGATCCACATTCATTGATTTCAAAAATGATGAACCAAATTTTAGGGGAGGTGTTCGGATTAGCTTTTGAAAGTAATGATTTTACAGTGTTTGAGATAAGTTATGAGAAAACTTTTATCTCAACTTACATAAAAATATTTTTTTTATGTGCTTTTAGGTGCTTTTATTTGGTGTAATATACTCACTCCGGCCGGTCCTTTTATAAGGTACTCCATTTTCTTCTGAGAAAGGCTTTATAAAAAGGAATAGAGGAGTATTATTGACTAATAACATATATTTAAGTTGCTACGTGTTTAATTATAAATAAGTAATTTGGGGAATTATAATTTGCAGACCCCATTCGAATATGCTGAAGAATTTTGATATGGGTAAAGCAGAAGCAACAGAGCAATGTGAATGAAAGGGGCGATTATTACTTTGATGGATATGATGATGATGAGCACTCTTGTTAATGTGAACTAATGACCCATGTATTTGTTCAACAACGACGTGTTATACGCTCCAAAAAGGGGGCCAAAAAGAAAAAAACAAATTGGAATTAATGAAAAAGAAACATAGTGCCTGCAATAAATCAAATATCAGGTCGTGATAGTCGTGGACTGTGGTCCAGAAAGAGAGCACTATATCTGCTTCATCCTTCATCCATGCCACAATCAGTGATGCAGAGAACTAATTAACAAGTAAATAGCAATGAGTTTCATAGATAATTAGCTAAATTGATTGTCACCTTTCGTTTACTCTTCTTTTCTTTCTTTCATTTCTTTTCATTCATATACATACACACACACACATATATATATAGACAGAATAATAAAAAAATGGAAAAAGAAAAGATGAGACAGGGACAAATGCCTAACATTATGCTTGTTAATTACTGCACATATATCTTTTCATGATGAACACAGATAGACGCGTTGAAGTGTGTTAATTACTGAATACTTGCGATTGAGACAAATGATACATATTACCTCTTGTTCTTAATATAAAAATTAGTTTGATATTCAATTTGATCCTAAATATAAAACTGTAATACACTTTGTCTTTCATATTTATTTATTTATTTCAAAACGATCTTAAAAAATAACAACTATTTATTACAAATAACTAATTTTACAAATTTTTTCATCTACTCAAATTAGTCAATTAAAAGACCAGAAGTACTTCATGTGGGGGGACCTGGGCCTAATTGATATGCTCTTAGCCTTTGGGTTAAGTCTTTTCTACTCTGCAATCTTTATTTGCAGAAAAGAAATATTGTGTTAAAGTTACCTTTTCAACTTGCATATGTCTGGCTCTTTCTTGCCTTTTTTTCCATAATGCCAACTTTAATATATATATGTCCTCGCCAAACTCCTAGCCACTAGTTCATCCCATGACCTAACTTTCAAAAGTGATTCATCTACTACTTCCTACTGCTTCATAAGTTAGCTTCATAATTGCCTTATTGTTACAATTCCTTTTAATTACGGCAAGAAAGAAAAAGCAGTGAATTTGAACAGTAGCACAAGAGCATGTACACACACAGCCTGTAGGTTCAAACCTCCGTACTGTTCAAAGGGATTCATAATTCATACCAAAAACAAATACATAGTCCAGAAAACGTAAGAGATATTATTGTGTGTGAGCTGATGAGTAAAAGACATGAAGGTGTAAGGCAAGGACTAGTGCGTGACATTTCCGTTGGCCAGCCTGGGGGAGGAGTTAATAATAAAAGGATGAAACCAGAAAAGAACAGCCTGGAGATGATGATGTGTTGAGCAGCCATTGGCTAGTTGAGGAGTCACAGTCAATGAGTGAAAAGTGGGACGACCAAAGATTTAATTTGATTCAGAGTTGTGTCACACACACTAAATTCCAGGGAGTGGGTCTCATTGTTTCTTTTTCTTCGCTAATAGGAACAAACTGCATCGCTACAAACGTCAATCACATGTCATGCATAGTGACCACTGAGCATGGAGCACAGCCCAGAATGGGAGAAATTGGCAAAAGAAGGGAGTGAATATATAAAGAAAGAAATATTCTACAGATGGATCATGAGAGTATATTATATTATTAAAGAATTAAATACACAAGCACGCATGAAAAGGCCCCAAAGACCTATTCAGTTTTGTTTAGCCAATTAGGCTATAAAAAAGAGGGTAGTTCTCATCCCCTCTGGAAAAACAAATAAAAAATGCCAAAATTTAAACCTGTAGAGACGTGTTTCCATCACACGCTCGGAGGACGCCACACCAATAGAGTCCTGTAGGTATAGTTAGGCTGAAGCTCGAAGCCCAAAAAAAAAAGAAAAGAAACAAGCAGAGAACCTTATTTCCCTTGTGGGAAATATAAAAAGAAAAAACAAATATCACGCAAGCACAAGTGCATGCCGCGCACCTAAAGCGTCCGCATACAGTAGCCATCAGAAAGTCCACAAAATGAAGAGAGAAGACTGAGCTTTTTGCAATTTTTGGTGATCACTTTGGGGGCATCCACATCAAAGAAACGCGCAAGTTGATGTTGAAGGCAATGATGTTGGCCAGGATGAGAAGCTTGACTTGCGTATAATATTTAGGCTATTAACAGCTCAAACTTCAAAGTTTAATCTCCCAAGGTTTTGCCAACCCCATTGATTTTGTTGGCTCTCTCTGCTTTTTCTTTCAGAGGTTCTCCAGAGCACTGCCCCACAATGCGCCTTTCCTTTTGCGAAAAATCAATGCCACCTTCGAATTCCATCATCACCATCGCTCGCTTCGCTTCCTTCATGTTCATTCCACACACTTGCATGACCAAACCATTAAATGCATCTCTCTCTCTCTCAAAGATATATTTATGTCGCAGATCCCCACTCCCTTGGGAATCTGCAAAGCCATTAATGACTGGCCGTACCCACCAAAAAGAAAAGTAATAACAAAACTTTCCCAAACTCACCAAACTCTGATACATACAACATATGTATATATACTATAATCTACACCATCACTTCAGTCAATTTTTAATATCAAAACCCTCTGAAAAAATGCTGAGGTTTCTAGGCAATATGGACCACCATTATTTTTTTACCCCTCCTTTTTCGCCATATTCACTGGGCATTTCCTTTGTCATCATCCACCCACAAGCAGTTATTTAATTTCCTCCTTTTACTAGGCGACGACGAAGAGGAGGAGGAGGAAGAAGACGAAGACGAAGATAAAATACTTGAACTCACTCTGGGTTGGATCGTTACTCGCAACTGTGGTAAGACTTTAGGCAGCTTCCTCCGATTATTGTCAACCACAAGTTCTTGGATCAACTGGTAGCAACCTATGATTTTCTCCTGCACCCATCAGATACACATGTACTTCGGCATCTTTCCTTGAATCACAAGCAGGAAGAAGATATTTTAACCAAAAAAAAGATCACTCCGTATAGTTACATACTTACTTTTATCAGTCCCTGGCACCATGACTGAGCATGCTCAGGCTTAACAAGAGACCAGTTAGGAATTTCATTAGCTGAGCAAAGTATGGCCGCGACAGCAATACATGATGGCCGATAGGCAAGAAAGCTAGCCTCTGGACAAAAAGTGTACAAAAGAAAAGGCAATTAAAGATGAATGTATACACAACTCAAAACGTAATATGAGAAGTATTACTTGTACTTTATGTACCTTGGATATTAGATAAGATTATTTCTGTAGCCCGAGAAATGAGTAACCCAGTGAAAGTTCCCGTTGGATCCAGTTTGCAAGCAAAGAAATCTATGAAACTGAATGGCGTGATTGATCTTAGCCTCCAATCCAGAACACTCAGAACAAGTAGTTCCATCCGACGAATTGTTCTTGGCTCAAATATATATTTGGCACCTTCTACCTGTAGATCCAAAAGGGGCGGAACTAAAGGTTCCTCCATTTTTGCAGCTAATGACAAACAAGCAACAGATAAAAGTTGCATCGGCCACCCATCCGATTGCTGAAAACACGATTCAAACAGAAAGTAAATGAAAAGAGTAACAATGATAATCAGTATATAATTATTTTGGGTGAGATATTCTACTGTGAATGTTAAAGTACACCGCTATACCGTACTAGTATATATCGGTTACTGGTTACATATAACTTTTAAATGTTTATTAGTAAATAACTTGAGTTATGATGACTACGATTAATTATTAACATTTATTGATTCAAGTATTTGAGAGGCTAATGGAATAGTAATTCTTTGTTTATCTTTTTTTTTTTTTTCCTTTGGTCAATTAGCGAACCTTTATTATAAAGAAGAAAGGACGTTAACCAAAAGATCCAAGAGGAAAAGGCTCGAACATCTTTGGCGTAATAATTAGCATGTATGACTTACATTTGTACGTAGCCAATGAGACCCTAAAAAGCATTAGATATTTGCGTGCCCCACCAAAATAAATTTATGAGTATAAACAATTTTTGAGTTTAAAAATTTTATTAAAAAAATTATTTATAATATATTACATTCATTTTTAGTTATTTTTATTTTAGGTTAAAATCTATACAAAATTTTTAATATTATGTATATAACATCAATTAATTAATTAATTAAAGTTAGATTTTTCAGTGCATTTAATTTTCAGCCCGTAAAAAGTTTATTTTTTAATTAAATAAAGTTTACCATAGCAACGCACCATGCCTATGGATCATTTGGGCTGAAAAGTCAAAATCATTACGCATAGAATTTTTCCACACGCTCATGGTAATACTAATAACTAATCATGAAACTCCCAAGAACTTAACAAAAGTAGAAAACTCACAGGAAACTCCCGAGAATCCAAAAACCGGTCCAAATAGTTGACGGAAAGATACGCCGTCAGCGGCTGAAAACCATAGTGTGCTTGCACCTGCAAAACAGTAATCGTCAAGTTATATTTAATACGCGTGAAAAACACTGTGCGCCGTAAACTTCGTCGGAATCGGTGGCGAAACGGTGAAAGACGGAAGAGGTCAGAGGCGGCTTAGATCTAGAGATTCTCGACTGCTTCTAGGAAACGGTTACCGCCGTTGTGCATTTTCACGTGATCCATTTGGAAAGTTAATTAGCCGTCAACGAAAATGCTCCGGTGGCAAAAACGTAATATCGGTCAAAATCAGTGTCCAATGATTACAGATAAGGAAAAAGTTTTGTTTACCTTGAGAATCCATGCAACGGATTCTTCTCTGGCGGAGGCGTCGGGCGAATGAGATTGAACTCTGGAGAAATAATCGAATCCAGGAACGAAGTTGCGCTCCTCTTCGATGAATCCGGCTATCGACTCCTCTGGAACTACTGGCGATGGCGAGGAATCAAGGTCGGAGGAGCACTCCGGCGACTCTCCGGACAAGATTCCGGATGTATCCTCGCTGCAAAGAAGGTCGGAGTCACAGAAGTAGTGATCGGAGCAGGAAACCGACATGATGATCGGCACCGGTAATTCCTCATTCTCTTTCCATCGTTCCGGTTAAACGGTTGCAGGAAGTGATAGATCGGAGGAGTCGCCGGAATGCTATTTTGTGGTGAGGGAGGGAGAGGAGGAGAGGGGGAGGGAGGGGGGAGGGAGAGAGTGACTGTGTGTGTGAGCGTGTGAAATGAGTGAGCCAGATGAAGGTATTGAACCAGCTTGAAGCTCCTTGTCAGTTAAATACGCGGTGCTTGCCTGCATATTTTTATTTTTATTTTTTAAAAAACTGATGAGAGTTCTGTTTTTGGTAAAATGATGAGAGATATTTTGAGTATATGAAAAATTTCCTTCTTTCGGGTAAAAATGTTTTTTATTTGTCAGCTATAGAAGATTTCAACATTTTTTTATCAAGAAATATAAAATTTTGTAAAATAATATGGAAAAATTACTTCCTTTGTTCCTTAATGTTCAAAAAAAAAATTATAGCATGTTCCTGTTTATTAAAAACAAATGATATTAGCCTGTTTGAAATATTCAATAGTGTTGTTTTCATTTTAACTCGTTAATTATTGGTTTCATTTATTAATTTTCTCTCCCTTTCCTCTTCAAAATAAGAGTATTTTTAGAAAAATTATAATTTTTACCTATTTATTATTTTAAACTAATTTTTAGGGAAAAATGCAAATAAAAACCCCCTTAAATATGTAAGATTATGATGTGGGACTCTAAATTTGAAAAATAGCAAATAAGAACCGGGTTCCAATTTTGTAAATATAAAATATGAGTGAAATGTCTGAAATGCCCCTCAGTCAAATTGTGATTTGATCTACTCAAATTGTCATTTGCTAAAGTGAACTTGTCATTTCTCATAGTCAACTCATTATTTAGCATACTTTCAGCCAAGTTCTAATTTGGTCTACGGAAATTGTCATTCATTAAAGTGAACTTATTATTTTTTATAGTTAACTTGTCATTTGGCTAAGATGTATTTCAAAAATTTCAAAACAATTTCATATTTGCAAAAGTAAAACCGAATCCTTATTTATTATTTTCCAATTAAGGGCTTCAAATCACAATTCTATATATTTGGGGGTCTTTATTGGTAATTTTTTCTAAATTTTATCTATATGTTCAATTTTTTTTTACCGGATATGTGTTCAATTATTTGTTTTTGCTAAAAAGGATATGAGAATAGAAACACAGATTGGATTAAAAGTTGGGAAGATTTTAAATTTGATAAGCCGTGGGACAGCCTTGGCACCGCTCCGTGTAGTGCCACGCGGCTCAAATTAGGTGAAAAAGAATAAGCATAACACAAGAGCCAATTAAATATATTAAAAGAATTAATTAAATTAGTTATTTATAATAAATAAATATTATTTTTTAAAAAATAATTTTTGTTAATCAAGTATCATTAGATATCACATTTAACATGCGTAACTATTATAAAAACTACGTTTCAAAAAATAGATAAATATAACAGGCAAAGTGAATTGGAATCTTATACTACCTCCGGTCCTAATTATAAGAGCTAGTTAACTAATTTGAGAAAATTAAGAAAATAAGTTAAGTTAGTTATTTATAATAAATAGATGTTGTCTTTTCTAAAATATCTTTGTTAATCAAGTTTATTGGCTAGAACTACCATTATTAGAGGGACTACATTGAAAAAAATACATAAATATAAGAGATAAAGTGAATTGAAATTTTATAATTAGGACCAAAATAAAATTCAAATGAGGTCTTATATTAAGAAAAGAAGGTAGAATTTGAACCAAATTGAAAGTTAAACTAATTTTTATATTAAAGACAGAAAATAGTATAAAAAATATATTTTGGCATAAATTCATCATGAATCATTAAATGCCATGGATTTTTTTATCAGATGATGATGATGATGATGCATGTTATTCTTAACATAAAACCCAATTGACTAATTTGCAAAAATTAAAAAAGTTAAATAAATTATTTTAAAATATTATATTTATCATTTTTCTATAATTTAATAATGCATATAAACATTTTAGAAAGATCATATAAAATGTTACTCCCTCCGTTCCTTATTATAAGAGACATTTGATGCTTATGGCATGTTCCCATATATAAGAGACACTTAAAAGTTGCCTCTGTTTTTTTGTATTGATTTCCTATTTTACCCCTATTTATTTTGTCTCCAACTCATATTCTCTCTCCTTCCCACTTCTCTTTTTTTTAATAATTTAATTGTTCTCTCTCATACTCTTTCTCCTTATTAATAGGGGCATTATTGGAAAAAAACATTATACTTTTTACACATTAATTGTCCTAAACTAATTTTAACTGTTTTTTTATCAACGTAATTTGGTTATTTGTCTCTTATAATAAGGAACGGAGGGAATACAATTTAAAAAAGGGAAAATTAACTTTGGTTCTTGTAGTTTTGACACGTTTGTAACTCAGTCCCTGTACCTTGACTCGGTGCAACTCAATCTTATAGTTTTGACTCAGTTGTAACTCAGTCTCTGAAGGTTGACTCACTACAACTCGGTTCCTACAGTTTTATCCATTTTATAATTTAGCCCTTGTGTTTTTGAAAAATAGAATTATATATCTAATAAAAAGAGGGGCTAAATTATAAAATAGTTAAAAACACAGGGACCAAGTTGCAGTGAGTCAAATTTCAGAGACTGAGTTATAATTGAGTCAAAACTATAGGGATTGAGTTGCACCAAGTCAAAATATAAAGATTGAGTTACAAATAAATAAAAACTATAAGGATTAAAAGATTAATTTTTTTTTAATTTTATCAAATTAGTTAACTGAATTTTAAGCAATCATTTATATGGGGTATATAAAGATTCATAGGCTTATAGCTATGTGTGCCCAATGCCCATATCTAATATGGAGTACTGTTATAATTAATGTGATCCGTGTTTTAATAATTCCTTTATTTATTCACGTATTTATTGGCATCAAAATCGACTCAATTAAAGAAGCTTGCTCCATATTTATATTAAAGTGATCGCTAGTTATTAATCCAAAAAGTAGCTCAATTACTATAGACAATGGATGGATACACACACATGTATATGGATTCGTCATAAATCTTCATTAATTACGTATTTAAAAAGATCAAATCGATGCTTTATTACATATTAGTTTTTCTCTTGCAATAATTCCATATTTTTAGTAATGATAATTGATTCACATTTGACAACATTTTTAAGTACCCGGTTGGATTAGCAATAAATAACCGTGATTTTAGATGATTGTAAATTTTATAAATGACACTAGCTATAAATGATATTGGTTAATCATAATTTCTGTTTAGATTTTTTTTATGAGTGACTTTAAGAATTATGCTATGTTTAATCTTTATTTATTAAACTCACTTGTGGACATGTAATTATCAGAAAAAATATAAATTTAATGAATATTATTAAGTATAACCATTTGGAGAGAGGTTTTCAGAAGAATGTAAGAAGATAGATTGAAAAAAATTTAGTTATGAAAATTCATCTAGATTCTTCAAAGACAAGAGCTATTTATTCTAAAAGTGTGGTTGAAGAGTGAAATAGCAATTTATTAAAATTTTATAGAAATTATCCAAACAGAATAAATAGACATCATAATCACTTATTTAGATTCAAACAGGCTTATTTGAGCTTTCACTGCTTAACTAAATAGGTGCCAAGTTGAAAATTAAAATGATCTCACTTATATTTGACATGGAAGGAGGACAAAGAATTAATTGCCTTCCGTAAGGGATAGGGGAATATGAACACACATTTTTGGGAAAACTTCAACATTAAATTAATTGTGTAATCTGCAAGAATTGTATGAGTAGAAGACTATTTGCCCTTAATGACACTATAAAAATATATAATAAATTTTTTTCTAGGCATATGTATCTTCATATTAGAAATAATCTTATTTAAATTACAATCAGATATCAGATATTAAATATAGGTATTTCTTATAAGTTGTGTAACAAATTTTGTTTCAATGAATGTGTAAGTTTTGCTTTGCATCATTCAAAGTGCAAGTTTTTGTTCAAAAGGACAAAGGACTTTTTATCCTACCATTCAGATTCAAAATTTCAAAGGTCAAATTTCAAAGGCCGAAGGGAATCAACTCCCACCGAACTAGCCAGAAGCAGCTCTCCATCTCATACACCCAAAACACCCCCCAAAAAAAAAAGTTATATATATAGATATTTGCAGTTCGGTTATTTATTTATCTATCTTTGAAAATTTTAGGATTTTTATTAAATTATTTGAAGGCACTAGATGCTACTCAATGTTAATTTTTTAATATAATTTTTTAATTTATCCATAAAATTCAAAATTTTACCTTGTTAAAGAATGGCCAAATCCTTTAGTCTTGAGGAATTACTCTGTAATATTTTTAATTCTTAATATAAAAATTAGTTAACTAATTTGAATATATTAAAAAAATTAATTAAATTATTTATTTGTATTAAATATATATTGTCTTTTTCAAAATAAATTTTATATTTAAAATGAAATTAAAAATTAAACTAATTTTTCTACACAGCAAGACGCTCTTTGGGCGTTGCCCCCTGATGCCTTTGACTGTTGAACGGCGCCGCACTTGGAATGCAGCGGGTTACGGAATCCGTTTCTTTGTGGCGGGACCATGATAATCAAATCAATCTCCTTCATCCCACGACACGTTTACACGTTAACTGCTCCTATTAGTTAGATCCCTATTCCCCAGCGGCCTGGCTAGTGACGTGCCAATGAAAACTTCCTAATCCCAGGCGATGCTGATCTGATCCAATCTACGAGGTTAGGTTTTTAGCAATACTTATTAATATAAAATGATTGATTTTCAGGGCATCTATCTTAAAATACTGTTTTTGCTTGTATACAATATTCTAAGTTAATTAATTTTTAGTGTATTTAGCATGCCGAAATATGTTTTTCAGTAACATATTCTATCCTAAATCAATTAATTTTTGTACATCTAGATGGGCTAAAAATTTCTAGTGGGTATTGGACTAATAGGGATTACTGGGCACTAAAAAATAATTAATTTAAGCTCATAAATGTTACTGAAAAATGCTAATTGAAAAAAATACTTTGAATGCATTAAAAATTTATTAAT